GCAAGAAGCCTGGATTTACCAGCTGCATAAACTGAAGAAAGGGTGCTTGGCATATTTGTTCGACTTTGGCAAGATTTATGACTTGAGGGAAGAAATTAATATCTTCTTCAGGCAGGCTGACAGAGAATTGATGCTCGAAATGTTTCATGAAGTCCTCACAGTTTGGAAACCTTTATAAGAGATTGCTTATTTGCTTGTCTTGTTACCACTATTTTGTCTCCAGGTGTAGATAGGGTGTGCCTAAGTTTCGAATGTCAGTTTGGGTGAAATGCAAAATGTACAAGGTTAAATTATAGTGTTTGTATTGGACCACGTTCTAGTCTAGACGAGTTTTCTTTTGTGAATTGAACACGTTCTATTTACCTAGCCCATATGTACATTGTCTTTTATTTTCCAAGTAAAAACTAACATCTCAAAAGTTCCTTAAACAACTCAAATATATTGTTCCGAAAACCATGAACCTCATATATACTCATCCGTGGATGGATTGGGGGGGCTTGAACTTTCATAATTTAATATTTTCATAAAATTTGCATACTTTAAATAAATATATATGTGTTCACCCCTCTTAACTTTTAGTTTTCAAAATTAATATATAATTTTAATAATGTAATAATTAATTAGAGATTTAGAAGAAGAAACAACTAAAATAATTTGCATAACTTAAACGAATAAGCAATAGAACACTCATTGTTTAAGACCTAATTAGGATATTATATAAAAATTTCTAGTTTTGTAATGTTTAATTATAATTAGTACTCAATTTTGTAAAATATCAAACGATATTAAATACCAGACACACTAGTTAAACCGTTTTTAGATCATGTGAAGTAAATCCATAAAATAAATGTTTGCTGACATTAAATTATACAATCCATTCATTTCTTACTTTCTAAAAAAAAATTATTGCATAAATAATAAAATTTAACTTATTTTAGCATTAATACAAATATAATAGGGGACAATAATTCAAATACCCCAAACTTTGAAGGAGTGTGAGATAAATACCCCAAACTTGCATGAGTAATTTCAATACTCCAAACTTTATATAAAAAGTTATTTTAGCACCATGTCATGTATAATCACAATCTGACAGATAGAGAGTGGAGCTCTGTCCCCGGTACTTTTAAATGTGTGGTATTTTAAAAAGTTGTTTTAGCACCAACTTTATACAAGTATACTTTTAAATGTGTGGTATTTCCCAACCCAAGCCCGTATGTTGGGAAATGTATTTGAAAACAATTCAAATGTGTGGTATTTTGAAGAAGCTTGTTTGACGTTCCATACTTTTTTTGCCATTTATTGGAGATACTCTTATATGGATAAATTATCTCATTAGTCCGCCTAATTAGAAGTAGTCATAGGGCGCTTCCATTTGAGGTTGCTTCGGATGAAATCTTTTGATAAAATTTTGTGAACATGTTTTTCATAGTGTATATTGTTAGGAATTTAATTTACGCACACGAAAAGAAACAATAACGAAGAACACACGAAAATTTGGTAACCCAGTTCGCCACGAATGACTATGTCTGGGGGGCCTACCAAACCAGGAATATTATTGCTATTTTCGGATCCACACACAATGATTACAAGAGAAAGAGCTTGTATTTATAAAGAAGTAAATCCTAACCCCAAGGCAACTAGGATGTGTTTCCTAAAATAAATTAAGAAACGTGTTTCCAAAAATAAATTAAGAAACTGTCTCTAACACCTTACAATCTCCCACCTAGAGACTGTCTTCTTCAAACATCCCTTGTAAGCATGGTAGAAGCGCAGTTATCTTCAACAATGGACTCCACAATTTCTTCTTGCCGTGTTAAGCAGTTGAAGACGAACCTACGAATAAAAACAACGCTTGCGTGAGGCTGAAATCTCCTAGCCACACAAAGCATAGATCGGCCGGTGAAAAAAAAACATTGCGGCACAACAAACCAAGCCTGTGCGAGACTGGAATTCTTTGACCGCACAAGCTTAGAAAGGCTGGCGAAAACTAAATCCCAACGTGGGGGAGAGGAGACAAAAACCGCCAAGTCATAAACAAATGCGTAAAAGGGTAAATTCAATAATAGAATGATTACTGAATAGATAACATTTTATCCGTCTAGTTACCGTCACCCTATCCAATAGTGACCATTGTTGGCCAACCGCAAGCTACCAGCGTCGGTGATCCACCACCTCCCTCACTCCGGCGTCCAGCCTCCCCGACGGTCTCCAACCTAAACCCCAGCCTACAGCCCCCAAACCTCCCTGCTATCACTGCCCCCTGCCCAACCCTCTCCCCATCCCTAGCTCTCATCCCTTGAACAAACGCCACCCCACACCCTCACTCCCGCTCCGCCCCTTCAACATTTGCATCCCACCACCATAACCTCCCCCCCCCCCCCCCCCCAGATCCAGCTGTGACCACCCCAATCTCAGCTCTGACCAACCTAACCAGCCCTTGGCCCCACCACCACCCAACCATATCTTAACCGACCCTGGCCCAACAAAATGGGTGGGTATACTGGTTTGGTTTAACCAAATCGAATCGTACCAAACCGAACTAAACTGAACCAAAACCGGACCATATGGATTTTGGTTTGAGTTTGGTATTATTTCTCCCAAATCGTTTTAAACCTAACTGAAACGAAGCCAATAAAAATCGGACAAAACTTAACCAAACTAAAGAACTTCAAAAAACCTTAGTATATTATTACAAATTAACAAATCTAAACCAAACCGAACTAAACTAAATCGAACCAAACCACTAATTAGTTTGATTTTACATTGGTAATGATTGTTCCAACCTGTTCCAAACCGAAACCGATAAAAACCGAACTGAAAACTGATATGCCCACCCTTGCCCAAAACCCTCGCTACCGGAATGAATCTAGCCGCTGAAACCTAAAGGTAACATTAGCTTATCATGATTCATCCTTACCGTCCTCGCCCACTCGGACTTGTCACCATCAACGCTTGGATTAGTCAATTCGCCCCTTCGCACTTCGTTGTTTGGGAGAAGGGTATTTTAGTCTGTTCAATTATTTCTAATCTCTTTTCTGTCAAAAACTAAAACTAGTCTTTTGACCTGATTAATGCTAATTAATTTGATTTCTTCAACAAAAAAACTAAAACTAGTCTTATCTTTATCCATTTAGAAGTCCATAACATTATTTGTCATTATTTCAAATTAATTTTCATTTTTACTGCTTTGATAAAAAAATCTTAAGTGAACATGTTGTGGTTTGATATCACGATGTAACATCCAAAGTGAATTTGAATAATTGAATCACACGTTCAAGTGAAGATCGGAACAGTTGAACATATACTAGCAAAAAAAACGTAACACAGGCAGGCAACCATAATAACACTGAGGGTTAGATTTGCAAATGTTTTAAAAAAACACTTCTTAAACACTACCAACTTTTATTTTTCTCGCCTTTCGTGTCAAAAGTGCTTTTACTTTTTCTATTACACAAAACACTTATTTTACCAAATACTACCAACTTTTACTTTTCAAAATCATTTTTTTCTCAAACACTATCAACTTTTATTTAATTACTTCTCTCCATTTCATTAAAATAACAATTTTTTTTAAAGTAGAAACTGTTGCAAACAGACCCGAGTATGGTATGATCAAGATTATCCTTTTCACTTTGGCTACTTAATAATTGACTCTCATGTCCCACATTTAAGTTCACAATTTGATTGCTAGTTAGTAAAAAATCATACTATAATTTTGTTGTCTTTGATTGTTAGTTAGTAAAAAATCATACTATAATTTTGATTGCTTTATTTTAATACGGAGTACATATTATTGAAATGTTAGTTTATTACTACTTCCGTTCCTTTTTATTTAAACTTTGACTTTTCCAGTCAAAGATGATAAATTTTGATCCATTACTTTAACTAATATATTTATGTAAAAATTAATAAATTTATACTTTAACAATAATATTTTTAACAAAGAATATTTTCATATAATTTTCATATTATCAATATTACCGAGTATAAATATATAATCGATCAAAGTTGAACAAATTTGGCTTGAAAAATACTGTTTGGTTAAATAAAAAGTGACGGAGGGAGTATAAGTTTTATAAGTGTATATTTTTAATATCAATGATCAAACATTAATACTGAAGACTGTAAAATGTTAATTGGAGGAAGAGAGTATTATTTTCGATAACTCATTAATGAAATGCTCACTTTCATGCTGCTCACAATTCAATAATAGTAATAATGTAGCCGCACTTGACCAATACTAAAATTGTCGTTTTCACTTTGAATCATTAACAAATTAATCTTTCAATATTGAATCTTTTTAAATAAATAAATAATAAATTAGAATCTTAAAAGTATCACCGAATATGAATGAGACGAATTTAGTGAGAGTTATCAGCCAAAAACGTTAACCAGGAAAGAGTCGTTTCTGTTTTATTTCATTTTGTTCTTAATGTCGAGCCATTTGAACCTTAATTGGTGTCTATATCATACTTATTCTGTACTTAAAATAATTGAAGTCAAGACACTGTAATTTAATTTTTCCTCCTACTATTGAAAATCGTCTCATATATTCGCCGTAGCAAGTTGCAACCATCTCTGTTAATACACGGAGTATATATATTTCGCATTCCATGTTAACAGTAGAAAAACGATACGCACTATTGATCAAACGATTTACTTTCACAGATTCCATGGGCACTACAAAGGGGAAGGGTGACGTTGACCAGTCTCAAATAATAATAACCAGACAAACCAAGGTACCAAACGGGGCTGTATTAAAGATGCTCTGACTCTGTGTCGGATTCGTCAAGGCTGGGTGAACCGGTTCCTAGTGGGAATTCTGTGAGAGTGTGGGTAGGCATGAGAGGCGTGGGCCCTAAACAAATCTCAGCCTCTCTACAACTAATTCCAACGTCCAGGCATGACGAAGCACATTTGAAAATGGGGGGATCTGCTGCACTGGACCCCATCATGCTCACGATATTTATCTGTGCCCCCTCCCCCTTCCTACCTCTACTAAAACAAATTTCCAGACACTATATAAGAAGGGGAAGTGTTGAATACACAAAGACACACACACAAAGCTACATAGCCAAAAAAACGGCCAATGAGAGAAACCGGGGAACTGCTGCAGAAGCACCAGAGCCAACTTCAGCTCGATTCCTCGAAAGTCGCCGGCGCTCCGCCGTCCACCAAGCTCTTAGACGACGATGGCCGCCTCAAAAGAACCGGTAAGTTATTAAATTAGTTCCTACGTATATGATGCTCCGGCGGCCTCGCTCCGGCAGATCTGAATATTTTCTCGTTTATAGCAGCCTTCACATTTTATTGGTACGAGAAATGCTTCGATACATACTTTTCAATAATGAAGCTTCTTTTTCCTTAATTATAAATTGATCGATTTTTATCATTTCCATTCATGTGAAATTTGAATGGTTGATATGTAATTTTGGGAGGGTGATTGTTACAGGGACTGTTTGGACGGCAAGTGCTCACATAATAACGGCGGTGATAGGGTCCGGAGTGTTGTCGTTAGCATGGGCGGTGGCGCAGCTGGGATGGGTCGCCGGACCAACCGTGATGCTCCTATTCTCTGTGGTCACGTATTACACCTCCGTTCTTCTTTCCGATTGTTACCGCTCCGGCGACCCCGTTAACGGCAAGCGGAACTACACTTACATGGACGCCGTCAGTTCTAATCTGGGTAATTTTTACTCGTTTCTAGTCTATTTTGCTCATGCTTTTATTGTAAAGAAGCTGTTAAAATGCATGTCTTACTTTTCATGGTACGGAATTACGGAAAATTATCTTTGATAAAAGGAATAATTTGAGTTTGCACCCCATGTTTGAGGTGATATTTGAGTTTGCACCCTATTTTTAAAATCATTAATGTATGCACCCCAATTCACAATAAAATCATTTGACTTTGCACCCCACTCCTTCACAATTTTTGAGTTGATGGGGTGCATACATTAATGATTTTAAAAATGGGGTGCAAAGTCAAATACCACGCAAAATATGGGGTGCAAAGTCAAATTCTTCCTTGATAAAAAGGTGAGTGTAGTGACGTAGGGTAAATAAAATATTTCATTTTTATATATGGTCTTTATTATGATTATAAATGCTTTGCAGTTTTTTTTTTTAGTCAAAATGCTTTGCAGTTATAAATAAATGGTCTTTATGAGAATTTAGGGAGGTACTGAAATAGGGAATGGTTTTTACAGAATGGTCCTACTTTTAAATAAAAAAGTTAGCAATTTGGTTTAAATTAGGGTGTTGACATTTGACTGGGTCAACCAATATAAAACGTGAGGGTTGGTAGATGATTATTTCTTTGATTAGCACACCAAAGTTGAAAATGATACTCCTCCTAGTTGACAATTTAGCATCTCAGAATCGTTGGCTAGACACGCGCATAGACACATGGCGCAGCTATTCAAAATTCTCTAGCGCATTTCATTCACATTCATATTGACTCAATTGACCCAATGAACTCAATATGCGTAAGTTAGATGATATTCTGGATTAATTAGATCCGTTAAATTACGAAATATTTAAAATATAATTCAAATATTTTTCATTAATAAAAATTACGTAGTTATCTGTATTTTAAAAAATTGCTACACTACTTTTGGTAGATTTTTAAGAAGGAAAATAATGAAAATGTAAAAATAGTAGGAAAGAGAGTGTAAAAGTATGGAAAATGATACTCCCTATGTTCTTTGTAGACTATCTCGTATTCCTTTTTGGGACATTTTTTAATTATTTGTCTCTCTTTCCTTTTTTGTTAAGTTTTTTCAATCAAAATAAATTTATACATCAACTATTATTACTCTTACAGTCTTACCCCTTTCTCTTTTCTACTTTATAATTTTAACACAAACCAATTCACATTTTACATTATTCCTATTATTTTCCTGTTAAAATCCGTGCCTAAGCCGAGCAAATTGAGAAATTGAGAATTTGGAGCAAATTTTGAGTACTTCCCGAACAATAACATGCCACAAATATTAAAATACGGAGGAAGTATGAAAAAAGGCTAAAACAATCTTCTTAATCAATTTTACCCATTTTAACTAGAAAAACAATTTTAAAATTATTTATTTTGATTGTTACGCAATTATGCAATTGTTTATTTAGATAGATAATTTAATTAAAGTGCATTCCATAGTACATCAATAATTTTTGTTCCAAATGTCGTCCGTCATCATCACCTTTTTATATTCGGAAAGGTCTCATGTTTTTGAACGGTCGATACTTGTTGGAAAGTATATTCCCTCGTGTTTATAAAATACAAAGCATCTGGATTTGTAATGGTAAATATTTTATTCTTGTAACTAGACTGATCAAATTAACGTTTTTTGAAAAATAATTTTCAAGTTAAAAGATACTCCGTATTTAAGCTGTTAAGACCCAGGGATCAGGGTTCCATCCTAATAGCTTTCTAGTGTGAGACAAATACTTCAACAAAAGCAATATACTTTGTAGTTGTGTATTGCCTAGTTGTTTGTGACTTTTGTGTACATAGGAGCTTCTGAACAAGCCGCATGTGTACACATGCAACTAGAGATTGTGTACAAATTATGTGTCTAATGACTTTTTCCTAGCTAAAAGATATTCCTCCAAACTAAAGGCACTTTTGTTTCCTCCAAAAGAATAGCTCCTTTGGACAAATGAGCTTAATTTCTAGAGAAAAAAAATAAAAACATTTACTCTAACATGGTAAGAAATAATTAGTCTCGATTGGGATTAGTAAAGAAACAATGTCTGGATAATTTATACTCCGTATCATTATTGATTTATGGTTGATAGTTGATATTATTTACAGTTATTTTTCCTTATATTATTAGAGACTTGTGTATGATTAATATTTATATAAAATATAATGATTATAAAAGAAATATGACAATGATTTAATTTGGATTTTTGGCCTTTCAGGTGGGCTGCATGTGAAAATTTGTGGTGCAATTCAATACGCAAATCTCTTTGGAGTGGCAGTTGGGTATACCATTGCCTCTGCTATAAGCATGATGTGAGTGACCTGAATTAGAAATCCCATTTTTAAGTGGTTTAAGCTGAAATAAAACTAATCAATCAGTACGATGGAATTGAATCAGGGCAATCAAGAGGTCCAATTGCTTCCATGCCAGTGGAGGGAAGAACCCATGCCATATAAACAGCAACCCTTACATGATCATATTTGGAGTGGTGCAATTCTTCTTCTCCCAAATCCCAGACTTTGATCAAATATGGTGGCTTTCCATTGTTGCTGCTGTCATGTCATTTACCTACTCCACTATTGGACTTGGACTTGGAATTGCAAAAGTAGCAGGTTTCATACCATTTCTATCAAACTTTCTATTTTGCTGCACTTTTTGGATAAGATTTCTATCAAACTTTCTATTTTTCTGCACTTTTTGATGAGGTCATGAGAGAGCCACCTGAAGGAAAATAGGAGGGAAAAATTCTTATGTAAAAGTTTTTGTGCACTCTCATTTCACCTGTGCATACTAGTGATTCGTTTTAAAATGTACTCCCCCGTCCCCGAAAGAAGTTCTCACTTTCCTTATTTGGATGTCCCTTATTTAAGTTCCCATTTCCTTAAATGGAAAATTATCTACATCAAAACAGTGCAAAACAGTGTCGAAACAGTGTCAAAACAGTTACCCTGGTAAGTTTACTTCTATAACAGTGTGTGAAAGTCAAATGATGAACTTCTTTCGGGGACGGAGGGAGTATAGAATTGTTTAGGAGAAGAAAAGTAAAAGTGATACACACAATAGTCTTTATCCTGCACCACCTCCAGATATTTTCACTTTTTACTTGGATTTGTTGACCAGAGTTAAACCAACTGACCAAATTTATCAATAAATTTTACTCCAAAAAAAATTATCTTTTTTAGTCCAACCCAAAACCTCCTCACACTTTGAATACGATAGGGGTGCACTTGTAGCAATTTTAGAGTCCTTCATCACCAGAATTTGTTAATACAAATCCACTTTTCTTTATTTTGTGGATCTTCTTTACATTTTCAGAAAATGGGAAAATCCTGGGAAGCCTTACTGGAATCAGTATTGGAACTGTTTCTGAAATAGACAAGATATGGTTGAGCTTCCAAGCACTTGGGGCCGTAGCTTTTGCCTATTCTTATTCTCTCATCCTCGTCGAAATACAGGTATAACAGAATTTTATTGATCAGAAATGATCTTTGCCTCTTTGGAGTATTTGTAATATTCGTGTTGGACCCCAAACGTTTTTTAATATTCACCCTTGAAAATATTTTATACGACCTTTGTAAATTATATTACGGAAACACCAATTAGATATTCGTATATATATATAAAATATAAATAATATTACCTCCGTCCCAATTTGATGGTACCGGTTCTTATTCACTTGGTCAACACAATCATTTTCAATCTCTTACTTTATATATCAATTTTTATCAAATTTGATTCTAGTTTTTTTGACTTTGTAAATCTTTTAATGTAATTTTTGAATATTTAATTTTTCCCCTAAAAATAATTTAAGTGCAAAAAGGGATCCGTTTGATTTATCGTTGGTCAAACATCGTAAATTGTAATGGTATCATCAAATTGGGACATGTAGTATTTTTTTTGAAGTTAAAATATTCTTGAACTTTAAGGGGAGGATAGATAGGTGGCTGATTTATACTCTCTTTCTTTCATAGAACTTATATTCCTTAATTGGGATGTCCCTAATATTGTAGGAGGGTTTGTTTAAAAACTTCTTACTCCTTTTGTTTTTTATTATCTCTCTTGTATTCCTTTTTGGGAAGCTTATTTATTATTTGTCCATCTTTTCCAGTTAAATACCGAGTAAGTTTTTTCAATCAAATTACATTTATACCCTCTTTTATTAGTTTTTACTTTTTACTTTTTACAATTATTTTTTCTTTCATACTTTTTCATTACTTTGTTCTTCTTTATATACTACGAGTACATTACTACACGTCTACACCCAACTACTTTCTTATTAAAACCCCACAAAAAATGTAAGGGGACAACTAATTAAAAACGGATGGAGTAATAATTTACTCTATGATTCTCAAGCAATAATAACATTACAGTATCGGACAATGTTATACAATATCAAACAGTGTCAAAGAAATTATTCCAATAAGTAAAAGAATTTCAAGAAAATTCCCTATGTGTGACTGAAACAAGGAAAAAAATCATAAATATGACTAGGTTGTTTTATTCCTAAAATATGACTTGTTCATTCTTATTGTGGACGTTCTAATCAAATTTTATTTTAATAAGACTAAATAAGTCTCATTTGGGGAAAACCATACTTCATCCTATTTTAAAACATTGTCTATCTTTTAGTAGTCCTATATTGAATAATTTCATACTTTCTTGCAAGCTATTCAAACTATAAAGCTGGTATATGCGTGTATCTTATTCTTACATGTATGCAGCTAAAGTGATAAACAAGTTAAACGTATTAAGTGACCAAACTTTGTGGAGGCTTTTAGTTCTTAGTTGTACTTCAAGGTGAAAAATAATAATTAATGATAATTATTAAAAAAAAAACAGGACACTGTGAAAGCTCCACCAACGGAGTCCAAGACAATGAGGAAGGCTGCCTTCCTCAGTGTAACTGTGACAACATTGTTCTACATGATGTGTGGTTGTTTTGGGTACGCCGCCTTCGGAGACAGTTCACCAGGAAACCTCCTAACGGGGTTCGGGTTCTACAACCCATTCTGGCTTCTAGACATTGCCAATGCCGCCATCGTCATCCACCTCGTAGGAGCTTACCAAGTCTACTCCCAGCCGCTCTTCGCTTTTGTTGAGAAGACAGCGAAGGACTGGTTCCCCGAAACTGACTTCATAAACAGAGACTTCCGAATCGCCATCAGCAAAAGGCAAAGTATCAAGCTCAACCTCTTCAGGCTTATATGGCGCAGCGTTTACGTGGTTCTGACCACCCTCATCTCCATGCTTTTGCCCTTTTTCAACGACATCGTGGGGATTCTAGGCGCTTTCGGGTTCTGGCCGTTGACGGTGTACTTCCCGGTGGAAATGTACATTGTTCAGAAAAAGATACCCAAGTGGAGCGGCAGGTGGGTTGGCCTGCAAATGCTTAGCGTGGCATGTTTAATTATATCCATTGCAGCGGCTGTTGGGTCGTTTGCCGGAGTTGTGACTGATCTTAAGGTTTACAGGCCATTCAGGACTAACTACTGATCATTTGGCTTGAAATTTATTAATTGCTGTTAAGATAATGAAGAAATATGTATATCTGTAGTGCTGTAGAGTGGCCGGCTCGCAGTTGAAGTGTGTAGTTTAAGAAGTGCTCAAAGTGTATAACTGTATATGATGATACGAAATATTGTTTTGCTTCATTGCAATGCAAAATTAATTAAATACAAAAAATAATTTTTCCCCCATATGACAGAAATTCCGTTATATTTCCATACTTGGAAGTTGGAACACGATACTCCTATTTCCAAGCCATAACGCCCAAACTCCAAGGACATTGTTTTATTCTTCCTGTTGAGATGTCTTGTTGTTTTGAACTATTATGAAATAAGTGAAAAAAGCATTTCTTTCTAAGGTAATATAGGCATGTCAAACTTCTACGGTCTAAGGATACCTCTGCATAGCTAGTTAGCAGGTTGAGGCCTCGTCCATAAATAGATGGGAGATGTTCGTCTCAAGCAAACAAGCAATAGAAATACTATTAGTGCGTATAATATTAAAAACAGAATTGTGTTTAGAGGCCTTACTCAAGCCCCTAACCTGCTAATCAGATTGACTTGGAACAATCTATTCGTTCTCTTTAGTAAACAAATGGAGATGTTTTTTTCTCAGCACCAAACATCAAGTGCAAAAATGATATAGAGATCATATTTTTGAGCCAAATTAAAGGAGCACTATTTACTACTAAATATAAGGTTCAGAGAGCTATTCAATGGGTAATTGATTGAAAAGACATGGTCATAGATTAGTGGATGGAAAGGGTGCTCCTTGGTGTTCTCATTGGTTCAAGTTGCACCATGATGTTCTTATTTGGATCTTTGTTCTAGATGATGTTAGACATAAGACTTCTCATAATGACAACCTTATATTGAGTGTTAAAATACAAAATAAAATATAAAAAATAAAAAGAATTAATTTTTTTTAAAAACTCTAAAAAATAAATAAAATACTTTAAAAATATTTAAAAATATATATATTAGGCCACTGTCATCACGTCCTCTATTCGGTTTTTTTTCAACTTGAAATTCTTTTCCGGAGACCGAAGGTGGCGGCGCTAGAAAATGGTTGAGGTGGTGGTTAAGACCTGTATTGTTTGTTTATTTTTTTTACGTTTTTTTTATGTTTTATTATTATGATTTAAAAAATCCTATTAAGAATGGTAAGAGAGAGGATAGTATAGAAGTGTTAGTCCTATTTTGGGAATTTTAACTTGAAGCTTCTATTGTTGCAATTTTGCTTTAATTTAGAATGTTTTTTTTTTGGATTGTTTTCAGTTCCACACCAGACCAGACTTAAACAGATCAGATTAAACCAGACCAGACTTAAACTGACCAGATCAAACTTAGACAATTATAAAATATACAGAGACTAGACATTTACCAGACCAACAAGACCAGTTTTGACCAGACCAGATCATATCAACAAATTTCAGTCCAAAAAACATCTTTAATCATATTTAGGAAAATCTCCCATAAATATTGTCATATTAATGTTATTTGGTGGGGAAAATCTTATTCTAGAATTCAATCTTCTAATTCCCACTTTCCGGAACCTGCGGTCAAAATTTCAGGTAGCCAGCGCGCATCTGTACGAGTCTGCAAAACCCTAACGTTGCGCGGTTAGTTAGTTTTTTCCCGCCGCTTCATCAAAACTGAAATGGAAGCGGTGTTGGTAACGCCGGGAGAAGTTTTGGGTTCGGCTTTGGAGTACAAAGCTGGTAGAGGGGCTTACCTTTCAGCAAAGCAGAAGATTGTTCGCTCGTCTGTCACCGGACTCCGCTCTTTCATACCCCCTCCTTCTGATTCTCTCGACCAGGTTAAAAATCTCGTTTCTGACCGTGTATTACTTTAATTTTGTTTCCTTCCTCTGGTTTATGAAATCCATTTTCCAGTTTTTTTTATCTTAAATTGCCTTAATGCTTTATGTGCTTATTGATGTTTATGGTGTCTTTTGGTGCTGTTCATATTTATCAGAGACCAACCGTGGAGGTTACTGGACACAAGGCACATGGACCTGTTCCTCAGCCAGGCTCAGTTGTTATAGCCAGAGTAAAGTTTCTGTATTTAGCTTCTTAAAGTATATGTAGTGATTGATTCTACATGAAAGGCGTTACAATTCCGCTTCAATTTATGAGTCAGAAATCACACACTAGTAGTCTGTACTGTAGAGTAACTGAGCAAGAGTATCTTTTAACATCTGTGATGGCAATATACCATTAAGAAATTAAGCTTTATACATTCTGTTCACAATTTTGCAATGTCAATGAACTCAATTTCAATTTTTTTTATATCTTTCCACTATTTTTTGAGACATGCTGTTACTTTAATTGATGAACTGCTTCACTGGATGAAAGCTTAACAAAGTTATACTATTCATTTCAAATAAATGTTGTTGTCTTTTTGCAACTTGCAGGATCCATCGATCATACAGTAGTTCATTACATAGAAATATTTGGGTTTTAAACTTCGTTTATGTTTGCTGTCCTTGAGTCTACCACCCTGTTATTTGTACCACGTGGTATAATATCAGAATCTCAGCATATCCTGAAAATGTATAGGCAAGCTCATTCTCACCACGTGCAGACCATGATAACATTGGATTGCATTTTGATATTTGCGTATTCAAAAATGTGCTTGCTCTTGTTACAAGTTATTATCATACAACCTTAGGTATTTCGTTAAAGACTTGTATTTATAAAGTGAATTGCTGTAAACATCAAGGATGTTTCTATTATCTATAGATGTTGTTTAACATCTCATCTATTGTATTATTGATTGCTTTCGTCAGGTTACTAAGGTGATGGCAAAGATGGCTTCAGTGGATATTATGTGTGTTGGTTCCCAGGCTGCTCGGGAAAAATTCACAGGAACCATAAGGTAACACATGGATGTTTTTCATAACCATTGTGAAACACTATACCTTGTTCTAATTCATATGCTGCAGTACATAAGCTCCCTAATTTTTTATTACATTTATGTGGATACAACTCTTCCTTCACTAATTTTTTATTACTCAATTTTTAAATTTATTGCTTTATATAAATGCTCCCATTTTTTAGTTTCATATTTTCCACTAATTTCCTTTTCTGCACCAAGCCAAACTTATGGTTGCTCATCCTCATCCAAATGTGCATTTCAAACACTATAAGTGTACAATATGAAACCTCTATGTAAATTTATTTATTTTGAAATGACTAATTTATTGTTCCTAAGCATCACATTTTGACCACTTGTTCTAAATTGTAAATCACTGATTGGCTATTTGCTGTAGAAAAGAAATGGACTTTTTCCTCATGGACATATGGTGCTGCAAGGCATTGACCATCTGTCAAACCTTACCTCTTTCCCCTAATATTGATTCTAAGCTTTTTCTTTTCTCTTGAATTAAACAGGCAACAAGATGTCAGAGCAACTGAGATCGACAAAGTAGATATGCACTTATCTTTTTGTCCTGGTGACATTGTTAGAGCATTGGTGGTATCCTTGCATTAGTCGATAAGTTTTATTATTGCTGAAAATATGAATTTACTATTTTGTTAATAAATAAGGTACTGAAATGCTACGAGTCATTCCTTTCTAATTTACACATGGTTATAGAAAGTGTCTTCTTTTAGACCTTTATAACTTAGATGGTTCGTACAATGTGAGTTGTATCAAAATCAAGTGCACAAAACATGGTTATCTTAGCTTGTTACACAGGTCTTAGATAGTTAGATATAAAATACGGTTATCACGACCCCTGACCTAATGTTGTTGTCTCACTGAGTTCTTAGATTTCATTTTCTGCTCATTAAACTCTTTACAATTTTATTTTCAATTCCATCATCCTCAATAGAATTTGATCAAAACTCATGGGTTCAAAACATATTTGTCCCTCAAAATTTCATTGTCATGTAGGTTTGATCCTCAAACTAAAACTCAAGCATAATTGCATGCCAAGGTTTAATGTTTTTGTCTGTGTAGGGTTCACCTTAATCATTTTGCAAGTTCAATCTTTTTGGTCTTTTGCAAAATTATGTTGAAGGAGAACTAAAAAAACCTTTCATAATTACAATATGTATATTAAATATTTCCGTGTATATAGATCTTTATTAGGAGAATAATATAAAATTGGTAATAACATTTACTAGATGTTTGTAACAACTTATGTTGTAGTAGCACACAAATTATTTACTAGCACTCATGTGCAGTAATTGACAAGGAACAATAGTAGAAACTGAGCTCCGGGAATTAGATGAGGAAATTATAATACTTTGTGAAATCTTATTAAGTTAACCCCTTTAAACTATAGTCTATACTTTGTCCCATCACCTGCTATGAGTAGGGATGGACTCGGGCCGGGCGGCCCGACCCGGAACCGGCCCAGCCCGGTCACTGTTTGAACCGGCCCGGCCCGGCGGCCCGGCCCATGGGCGGTTCGGGTCGACCCGGCCCGGTGGCTACCGGGCCCGGGCCGGGCCGGATTTAATTTTATTTTTTTTTTTGAATTTTTTTTAAGTTTTTGGGTTGGATTGGTTATTTACTTATTTTGGGCCATTTGAGGTGGTTTGGGGTTGAGGGGGAGGGTAGGGGGTTGATTAGGAAAACCCAAAATATATATATATATATATATATATATATATATATATATATATATATATAGAACCGGAACCGGGCCCGGCCCGAACCGGACCCGGGGTTACCCGGGCCGGTTCAAGGCCCGAACTAGGGGTGGACTCGGCCCGGGCGGCCCGACCCGGAACCGGCCCGGCCCGGTTACTGTTTGGCCCGGCCCGGCCCGGCCCGGGGCCCGGTGGGTCCAGCGGTTCGGTTTGGCCCGGCCCGGGTGATGGGCGGTCCGGTCTCGGGCCCTGCTTTAGGCGAACCGGCCCGGCCGGTTCGGGCCCGGTCCGGGCCGGATTTTAATTTTTTTTTTTTTTAATTTTTTTTAAGTTTTGGGTTGGATTAGGTATTTTGGGCCATTTGAGGTGGTTGGGGGTTGAGGGGGAGGGGGTTAAATAGGAGAACCAAAAAAAATGGACCGGTTTGGCCCGGCCCGGCCCGGTTTGGCCCGGAACCGGAACCGGAACCGGCCACCGGCGGTTCGGGCTCGGGCCCCAGTTTTCTGGCCCGAGGCCCGGCCGGGCACAGGCCCAAACCGGCCCGAGTCCAGCCCTAGCCCGAACCGGGCCCGGCACCGGTCCACCACTAGCTATGAGTACACAAATGTTTGGAGTTCTATCAGATGGTCTTAATATAACTGATTTGATTAACTAATAAGCTTTCACTTGGAGATGCACGAGCATAT